CGGCATTTGCGGCAGCCGCAAGAATCTATGGTACTGACACAATTGCGATTAACTAAATTCTCTATGTCGTCTAATAACTTTTGAAAATAAAATCAGTTATGAGCCGAAAAAATCTGTTTTCTCCTCTCGTTTCCATGCTAATAAGTTAAAATGTTTTATCCATTCTTTAGAATTGATTTGAGTTCAAAAAGGTATTATGCTTAGTTACTGGAGCTTACTCCTCACACGGTTTGTTTTTAATTTTCAGAACGTTTTTTCGTAACTACACAGTCAGCAAAATGAAATACAAACTTTATCCTGCGTATGACAAATACAACATATCTAGCAAATATCAGCTTTCAAAGCGGACTGAAAAAATGGCTGAAAAATTTCTAAAAGAAAGTTTACGATTTCTAGATTTTCTAGAAAACCGATTTCTCAAAAGTCTCTATCTCAAGATCCCGATGCCTAGTATAACTTTTTTTCAAATATATAGAACTCGACGAGCTCTTTCATTTGAGCAATACGACGGTTTTGGCGAACCGACACAGCAGTTTTGACTGGGCACATGGACATGTCGTAGAAAAGTAGCATGAAAGCTTCTACCCACTGAAAAAAGATTTACGAATTTCTGCGTTGACGCGCAGGAATGATGATAAAAACTTGTAGCTTGTAGATTTTGTCCGCCATGTCTATCTTGCGCCGGTGAATCCGCGTTTCGTGGAAAGCTTAATTAATTTTCCTGTTTCGTCGAAAAAATTTTTCTAATGTTCCTGTTTCGTCGAAAAAATAAAACTTGAAGCAGAATATAGATCATTCTAATTAATAAGGTTTTTATAAACAGACTAATTAAAAAGAATGCTGAATTTAAATTATTGTTTTGAAAAATACATTGATCAACGGATGCCAATCGTCATTTCAAGCCTTTTGGTGTAGCATTAATTTCTTATGATGAGAATGTCAAATGTTGTAACCAATTATTTACATCAATTAATGCGTTAGCTGTGCATTGCTTTGGTGATTAGTTTTTTTCTACTTTGTTCATATTTGTGTTCATACTTCTTCTTGTATATATTCTCGTTATATTCTTTTTCTTGTCTGTCCACTAATTAATTTGCAATTAATTTTCTATTAAATTGCTATATATTCTTCTTGAATATATTTTCTTTAATTAAAACTTCTTTAATTGATTTGGTGATCAAAAGTCTTATTTTTTGGTGATCATTTCACTGCTAATAAATTTGGTGATCAAAAGTCACTTTTTTGGTGATCAAAAAAATTGATACCCATACATTATTAGAGAACGAAACAAAACAAGTGATAATAAAAACAAAAATCAAAATTTTTTGATACCAATTAACTGCATCACTTTTCAAGATATTCTTCCAGTGTTAAGGTTGTTGTTTATAACGATTTTCTAAATCGTGTAATCGTGCATTTCGATTCACAAATAGTTTTTTTCTTGATGGTATTGCGCCGGTGGCTGTATGGCGTGATGATATTGCTGAATTATAAGCATAATCGTTTTGAATTGCACGAATAAACATATAAAAATGTGGATGTATGATATGATTTAAATCAGTATTTAATCGATGATGCCAACCTTCTAAGCTATTATTTGTTCTTGAACTTTTAAAATCAAAATAATTCCACAATGATAAATTGAACAACGCATCATCATCCACCCACGTACTTGTGACATAAGCGTTTTAAATCCATTTTAAATTCTTCAACTTTACATTTATCTTCGTCACCACTGTGATTGTGCGGCTTCTTCATACCTGGTTGATCCGACCCATATTGTATAGCACGCCCAGGACACGAACGGTCTTCGCATTTCCAATAAACAGTAGTATTCACAATTCTGTCTTGGGTGTAACGAAAAGTATCAAGTAATAAAAATTTTTTTTTACGTTTACTTTCAACAATAGATAACATGAAATATAGCGAAAGGTATAGCAGAGAAATCATTGTGTTATAGTTGAATACAAATAGAATAGACAGTGATTAATTTCCGTTCCTAACTGCATGTATATATACTACATTTAGAATAATTCAGCATTCTTTTTAATTAGTCTGTTTAGAAAACCCTCATTAATTAGAATAATCTATATTATACTTCAAGTTTTATTTTTCGACGAAAGAGGAATACTAGAAAAAAAACTTTCGACGAAACAGGAATATCAATTAAGCTTTCGACCAAACGGGAACTAACCCTTGTGCCACTCTGCAATCTTTTCTCATCAATATCTGCGCAGGTTGAACTTGTCTGTTGAGGAGCTGTCTGTATTTTTTATTTCTGGCAAGTTAAGTACTTCTGCATCTTTTCTTGTAAAGTCATACAAGCTTTTCTCGTGTCGAATAAACTTCCGGAAATGTATACCTTAACATTTTTAACTATAACTTATCAATGTTTTACCGAAGTTTTTAAATTATATACCATTCAACAGAGTATTCAAAGGGATTACTCTCACTTCGTCCCATACTTGTTTCGTTCCGTTTATTTACAATTTTAACATCAAATGAATGTTAAAAATAAATGTACAATCTTGTAGAGAATTAAATTATCTATCGTTTAGTATAGGAAAAAATTATTTTCTCTGAAACGATTTGTAAATTCATTGTTCTAGAAGTCGTTTCACAACTTGTGGAACACCCTTTATGAGCATCGTAAATGCATTCTGATGATGACATTCTATTCATTCAGAAGTATGAATATTCAAGTTAGCCATAGATCTAATATCTTTAAATTTTCATATTTGATAAATATATAAATTTCTGGTTGATTTTGTAAAAGTGAAGACATGTAATCAAATTCATAAAATAAACGTGTAAAGGCGTAATTTCTTTCAAATTTTTCATTTTGTTTGTTTATTCCTATTGGCCAATTCCATGATGAAATAAGTTGTATAATTAATTTTGATAAATGTCAAATAAAATCATCTAAAATAGGAGAAATAGCTTCACTATTATTAATAATATTTATATATAGATTTCTTTTGTTCATTGATGATATATTGAGATATTCATGTAACATTTTTTTAATTAAAGTTTTCAAACTGATCATTAATGGTGTTATTGTATGTACTTTTGGTAATTGTCAAAAAACATTGTATATATCTTCCACTGATCCTAATTCCTTCATACATGTAGAAGTCAAAAGTCTAAAAGTATTTTCAATTTCATAGCTCATGTTAGACTTTTAGACTTTTAGGCTGGTTTTGTAGGGCAGCTCACTTCGGAAGTGCTCTTTGGGCTTTCTAAAAGGTGGTTGGAAAGCAAAGTCACATCTCAAAGCATTTGATGGGAATACGTTATAGGAGAACATTCCGGACTGACATAGTTCTCTTTGTTTATTGTACTATACGAGCAAAACGACAGGAGGGCAGGCCATACTGTAAATCCCATGGTTTCTATAAAAGTACTCCTTTGCTTTTGTTCTACAGCAATTCGGTAACTCACACTATAAGACCAAATGCCCGGTGCATCCACCAACAGCACTCACCAGTGCAATACTCTCTCGTAACCTATTGTTATCTTCCCTCTCTAATTTAAAAAAAAGTCGCAGTGTGCTGCAAAAATCGACTGCCAGTAATCACTTTAATGCTAGCCACCACTAAATATTTGGTAAATGCGTAAGTCTAAAAGTCTAAGAAGTCTAAAAGCCTTGAAAAAAGCCTAATTAGATTTTTGACTTCTACACTACTCAATTCGTTAATAGTAACACTATTATAGCTACAACATTTAACAACTTCGTTTAAATTTTTAACAGTTAATAATATAGGATTTTTACAGCAGATTTATATAAAGTCATTTGACTATTTATTTATTCCAACATTTCAAAAATTTATATTTTCATTTTCAAGGAGTGCACAAGTAGAATATTATGAACGCACAACAAAATGATTTTTCATTTCTATATATATAGGAAACAAAGTCAGACGATTTTATATTTATTTATATGACACCTGGAGTTATACGATCTTCTAAACTACTAGCTAAAGCACACACTGTTGATAATCCAGTGAGTAAGACTGAATGCATGGACGACGGTAAAAAGGATACAAAAGAAAAATCAGCTTTAGCCAAACAGGAATCTGAAACTGGACATAAGATTGGTTGGATGAATTTCAAAATACCATGCAGTGATAAAAATCCATGTAGATTGCTCATAAAAGAATCATTAGTAATCAAAGCTTATGAACCTTCTCTTACTTTGAGAAAACATTCATACCAATGATTATGTATCCGGAAGACTTGCCGAGATGTCTGGTACGTGATCTTAATGGGCTTTATATAAAGTCATTTGACTATTTATTTATTCCAACGTTTCAAAAATTTATATTTTCATTTTCAAGGAGTGTACAACGGCTTGTCCACCTAACGGTCTCGTTCGTTTCAGGAGTTTGCGTGAAATTTTTTTTCGTATTAGTTTTGTGACACACATCATTAAACATACTTTTTCACGCTGATCACGAATCCGAGGTCGAAAATTTAATATCTCAATTTGAAAGTGGTTTTTGAACGTCAAAACCCACTTTAAAATTAAAGTTTTCAAATTTTGAGATCGGATTCGGAATCAGAATGTATCAAAACCTTCATTCACATGAAAGTTTCTTCAGTTCAGTGAAATCCATCTACAAAAATGGGCGCCTTCGAGAGCTCGAAGGTCTTTTTCAATTTTCTAAATTAAAATTTTTTTAAAATTTTCTATTTTAGAATTTCTAAAAAGTTAGAAAATCAACGACGACTTTCTACTTTTTTCAAATTTTTAGAAAATCCAGTCGATTTTCTAGCTTCTAGTTCAATAGCTTTTAATAACGGTAAAAAAGCTTATGTTCAGCCATTTTCACTTTGCAAGTCTCTGATTATCAGCATTCTCACTCGAATTGTTCTTTCTCATTATCTGGAAAATTCACAGCGATTGTCCAGAAAATAGAAAATAATTCGACTTTTCCCTTTTGAAAAGTCCATATATGAAATCGCTGAGGATTTTCGAACGCGTCGTTTTTCGTCCTTGCTTTTTCTTACGGACATCTGACAAAGTAGTCCGTTCTGAACTCAGATTCGGATGTTCGCAATGAAAAGTTCGGAAGATAGGAATGGAAAAGGATCGGGGATGTTCGAAATGATAACTAAAAGAAATCTGGATGTTGGGAATGAAAGGCGTCCGGGTGCTCGGAACGGCATGAACCAAGGCTTTTTAGCGGTTTTTGTATACAAAAATGTCCGGATATTCTTAATAGAAAAGTCCGGATGCTCGGAATGAAAGCTACGGATATTCGTAGCGAAACACACTATGTTAAAAAGCAGACATCGAAGCTCGTTCGGAACATCCCTCACTTTTTGTTGCGAACATGCGGACTTATCCATTATAATCTTCGGACACATCGGTCTTGTATAACTTATGTTTTCGTTACGAACATCCGGAAAAACGATTTTACGCTGCACAGACCCGATTCCGAACGTTTTTCAGGTTTTGGAAAATCGAACTTCAAACAGTCTGGAAAATCCAGCTCGATTTTCAAGAAAATTTGAAAATCGAGCTGGATTTTCAATAAATACTTCCCAACAGTCTGGAAAATCGATGGTAATTTCCCACTGTCTTGAAAATTCGATTTTCTATCATCTGGAAAATCAGTGAGGATTTCCTATATGGGCTTTTTGAAAATCGTCGAGCATTTTCTATTAATATTGCATCTTCAGACACGTAATCCTTTTCAAATCCAACGACACTCTTTAATTCTTTTTTGTTGCTACGATAATACCCACGATGGTATGAACTCAACTGACGAGGGAAGTCCCTCAACTTATAAATCGCTTTCTGAACGAAACCTAGTGGACCACAGATAGTCGACCATGCTGATTCCGAATATCATCATGACTACGGCTGCTAGGCCTCCAAAGACCGGTTTTCTGGAAAACCAGTTTTTCAAGAACTCTAAAAAATAATCAAAACATTTGTTTAATGAGACAGGATTGTAGCCCGCAAATTTCTGATTAAAATGAGACATCTCCCAGTTCTACATGACCTTTCTTTGCAAAGTTATAGAATTTACAAGAGTCCTAAACTAATTTCTGCTTAGTAGCTTTGAGCTGACAATGAACATTTGGTGTTTTCTGTTTTGATTATTTTTTTAGAGTTCTTGAAAAACTGGTTTTCCAGAAAACCGGTCTTTGAAGGCCTAGCAGCAGTAGTCATGGTGATATTCGGAATCAGCATGGTCGACTATCTACAGTCCACTAGGTTTCGTTTAAAAAGCGATTTATAAGTTGGGGGACTTCGCTCGTGAGATTGAAATTATATTCTCAACTGAGATGCAATCCATATTTTAATCAAGTATCCTAGTTGAGAAACCAATATTTCTGCGAAAATATTCATTTTTCAACTGAGATACAATTTTGACACGTGCATTGAAACCTGCTATTGTGTAGTGTACTAAGGTCTAATATTCAATAATGAATGAAATGAAATTAGGTAGATGATGTATCTCTGTTGACTATCTGAAGAATTATTGCCACATTACATGGTCAAATGTTGTGTATTTTCATGTCCATGGATACGACTTAACACAATATCTCATCGTTTAACTGAGCAAGAACAAGAATTAACTGTACAAACCCATCTTTCACTTTCATTTTTATTCGTATGTTGGTGACGAAAAAGAATTTCTTGAAATAACATGGAAGGAGCGCCTGTTTGAGTTCCTTTCGAACAAAAGCCATTTCTGTTTGAAATATGTCTTATCACTGTTTCACGCTTATATAAGTATTGAATAATAGATCTTAGTACGCTGTACTCTTGCACAACAGCACGTTTCAACGCACATGTCAAAATTGTATCTCAGTTGGGACTACTCCAGTGACATTTGTTTAGCATTTGCTGCTTTGCTTCGTCAGTTGATGGTATTTTTACTTAAGTGACACTTGGACCTAGACAAGTTCTTTGTTGAACTTTTGTCATTATCCTGTCATTTTATTAACATTATGGACTAAAATAAAATTGATTGATTGATTCGATCCAGTTGTGCACTAGATACTGCACTAGGTATGTTGATCGATTATTGCCCGATATATTGACACCATAAAGGATGACCAGAAGTAAAAGACGTCCGTCCAGCCAAAATTTAAAGTTTTCGCCTTCTGACCTGACAGAAAACGCATGCCGACCATTAGGACTGAAGCAGATTGATCTTTTTAATGTTTTTTTTTGTTTATTTAGAATCACAAGATTAACATTATAAAATAAAAGCACAAGAAAGACAAGAAAGTGATCGAAGTAATCAAAAACCTTGAATTAGGATTAAACATCGTTGCCGTGCATGAGGTATTGTGATTTTTGGCCATTGTGAACAAAGATTTCTTGGCTTAAAAACTTGTTTTGTGTGAAAAGAAATCTAAAAGCAGAAAAAATTAATTAGTTCTTAAAAATTACATTACTCTATCAAAAATGTCAAAACCTGAAAAGTTTTCTAGAAAACCTTCCAGAAACCCTCCTGTCTATCTGATAATATCAAATTCGGATTCAGCATCGAAAATAACCTGTACCAAGTTATTTCAATCGACTTTGATACAGAAAACACTAAACTATAACTTCAAAATCTTCTAGTTTTTTAGGGGTACTTTGGCCCTGTTCCGGAGTATTTACGTCAGATTTTTTCATTGATTTATGAAGAACTCGATTTCCTCTTTCATTTGGCGCAAAAATGAAGGTTCTACAGCAGGGAACGCACCTTGCAGAGGCTTTATAATAGAGATCGTTTCTGCAGGAAAATAACGAAAAAAGCGCCTTTACGCTAGGAAAGTGGATTAACCCAAAAGTAATTATGTATTCTGCTAGCTCTCGGAGTTCTCTATCACCCCGTATATTTATATGGTGACTTGCATTTATTTCCTGAAAAATATAGTAAATATATACTCTACTTTTCATTCGTTTTTCTGAATTTATTATGAATATAAAAATATATTTTTGAAAAGTAATTGTATATTCTGATAGCGCTTGAAACTATCACTCTGTACTTTGCCAGCCTTGGCTTGCTATTATTTGATGACAAATATTTCGATTATTGTTTATGTGCCCTCACTCTTGCATTTGAATAGGCTGACGGAAAAACAGTTATTCGATATTCCTGCTCATGGCTGTTCTCTACAGTACTAATGGTTAAACATCCGCAAGAAAAATTTGAAAGTGTAGACTTGAGTAAAACATTAGAATTACAAAGAAACGTGGCAGACTCACTTAAGAAAATACAAGATGCAACCTATTGGGATGCAAGAGGACACATAAACCATAATCGAAATATTTGTCATCAGATAATAGCAAGCCAAGGCTGGCAAAGTGCAGGGTGATAGAGAATCTCACGCGCTATCAGAATACATAATTACTTTTTTGAAAATATATTTCTATATTCATAATAAATTTAAAAACACGAATGAAAAATACAGTTTTTGGGAATGTGAGCATAAGGGTGCCTTGAGAAAACCATATTCTTTAAGAGTGAAACGTTGAAGCGACTAAACTTTTACCGTATATTGAATTACTTGTGATATTTTATTCAAAAAATGGAAAAGTGCTGTATTGTTAAGAATAAATCGAACCGTCGAAATTGACATTTTTGGATTTGAAAATAAATAATTTTTTAAAGTTTATTGAAGTAAGATCTGTTAAGGTTTTTGAGTCTTGATTGTGAATGGTTCTCGACTGATAAGTGCTTGTCAGATATATTTACAAGATCTGTATCATGCCTATATTTGAATACTGTAATATTGTGTACGATAATAACTGCAAATTTCAAAAACTCACTCTCGGAGTCAGCAGCAACGACTTCTCATCACACAGTTCGGACCTTATCAACTGCCGTATCTTTACTGCCATCGTAAAATCACATGTCTCTTCCAGTTACAGGAATGCAGTGCTCGATTTAATTACTTAAGTTCGTTGATCATCTCCTGTACGTATCAAATAACTAGTTTTCGGCTTAAATCAGCATCCCTGGGGTTTTACCAATGACTAATCGAGACTGAAATTTGCGGATATTGGCCTATTGTGATGATCTATCGAAGTGATACTGTTTTATCCTAACGATGTAGCCATACATCATAACCAACAATAAAAATATAAACATAAAGAACAAAAACTCTAGTTGTTGTCCATCTTCTCGTGTAAAATAAATGATATTCGCAACGAATAACGATCACGACGATATTTTCTCGTTTTTGATTGTGTGATATAAGTTTACCTTTTTGCATTGTCACACCAATTTTTATATCATATGCAGATTGTAAGTTATTAATTGCCCCATAGTTTTCGACATCTAACTCTAATTTATTTAATAATCTGTTGGATGATTGATATTTGCGACTTAACTAAATAGAAGAAAAAATGATTGGTTGAAACTGCTGCTTAATCTAACGGGTGCATCCTAAATGACGAATCGCACCTACCTTTTTATCCTTTACTCAAAATTTCAAACTAAAGTTGTTCGATAGAAAGTTTAATTATATATAATTGTGAAACTCGACTTGAATCATTATGTTTCGTTAATTTTACAGCCGCTTTGTAATTACTAGAGACTCAGACAGAATTCATTTCTGGAAGAATCAAAAGAAGATAGCACGACCGGTTTCAACCTTTCTCAAGGGTCTCGTCAGGTGGTTTCCTTCGAGAAAGACAGAGTTAAGACATGACAAGCAACACAACTTTCGTCACACTTCTCTACTTTATAGTCACTAACTCCATAGTAATGCATGGTTCGATCTTCAGAAGTGGTCACCCATCCTCTTAATAGTCGTGCTCGTTCACAGTGGAGAAAGACAGTATTAGTCACAATTCTTCAATGTTTAATATGCGAGTTTTGTGCGGTTGGAATCGATAAAAACGAGGAATAGTAACACCCTCATACGGTGGGATGGAGTTATGTTGCTTGTCATGCTTTAACTCTGTCTTTCTCGAAGGAAACCACCTGACGAGACCCTTGAGAAAGGTTGAAACCGGTCGTGGTATCTTCTTTTGATTCTTCCTAAAATGAATTCTGTCTGAGTCTCTAGTAATTACAAAGCGGTTGTAAAATTAACTAAACAGAAAATTTAATTCTTTACAAAACTACGTACCTAACCCGGCGTGGTATATATACCACCTCGAGTATTTTCTCAAAGTTGAGGAATGGTATATATTTCAAATCAATCAGAAGTGAATGGAAACAGCCTGCAGATTACTTTTCTGTATTGATAAATTAATCCTGTCAGCATTTCGAAGTATCAGAAAAAGCCGAATATAGTGCATTTAGTAATTTCAACAGTGTATAATGGAAATTTCTTTCTTTTATCATTATTTTTTATTGGAATCTTTCCTATACATTCCAGTGCGTCTGCTTTGGTATTTTTCTTTTTCTCCTGTATACAGAGATATATACATATGTATGGACACTTTCGTGCATATTCTTCACTTAGTCGCTACTTTCATTCTTTTGTTCGTTTACCATCGCCGTTCTTATACATACATCTTCTCAAGTGTTATACGAATAAATCGAATTTACACATATACAAGAACAAAAATTCGTTCGTTTCACGTTTGCAGTTCATTGAATATGGCAAGAAAAAACAGTTCGCATGAAAAAGAAATATTTCAGAAATTTTAGCTGATTCAAACTCCGATTATGATACTGAAATTTACACTGACTCTGATGATTCAACAGCAGATTCTGATGATTCATTATCAGATTCTGATGAAAAAGCAGAAGAACCACCACGAAAAAAGAAAAGAAGAGAATTTCTCAACTGGAAACCTGAAAGATTTACTCCTAAGTCATTCTACTTCAATAATGGAAACGCAGGAATACCAAGTGATTTACAGTTAGGAAACGATCCTATTGATTATTTTGAATTGTTTTTCGATCAGAAAATTATGGAATACATGGCCGAAGAAACTAACAGATATCAACAACAGAATTCATCATCATCATCTACAACAACAAGTCATCAAGCACAATGGTATGTAATAAGTTTCAAAGAAATGTATGTCTTTCTTGCAACAACAATGTTGATGGGCACCGTGCAGAAAAGTTTCATCAAAGATTACTGGTTGGTAGACCTCTTCATTATAACTCCAATATATAGAGAATTATTTTCAAGAGACAGATTCTATTCAATAATGCGAATGCTCCACTTTGTCAATAATAATGAAAATAACGTGGGTAAACTTTATAAAATAATACCAATTATTCATCATATGCAAGAAAAGTTCCAGAAATTTTTCAAGCCTTTTCAAAAGTTGTGTATTAACGAAAGTTTATTACTTTGGAAAGGGCGTTTATCATTCAAGCAATATATTCCATCGAAAAGGCATCGATTTGGTGTCAAGCTATTCATTCTCTGCGACTGTGAAACAAAATATATATTAGATTTTATTATATACACAGGTACCGGTACAGAAATTGAGATGATAAATAACTTGGGAGTATCTGGATCAGTCGTAATGAAACTAATGAGACCTTATCTTCGAAAAGGACATATACTGTACGTTAACAATTGATACACGAGCCCAAAACTATTTATGGAGCTTTATAATCAAGGTACAGGGGCAGTAGGGGCAGTAAAGAAAAACAGGAGTGGTATGCCTTCTTTGAAAGAAAAGTTGAAAAGAGGAGAGCAAGTATATAGAAGTTGTGAGCCTATGATAGCTATAAAATGGATGGACAAACGGGAAGTATATATGTTATCAACTATTCACGACTCACGAATGGTAGCAATCAACAAAATTGATCATAAAACAGGAAGACAAATTATGAAACCTGCCTGTATTCAGAATTATAATGAAAATATGGGAGCAATCGATTTAGTTGATATGCAGTCAAGTTTTACAGAATGCATTAGAAAAACAATAAAATGGTATAAGAAGTTATTTTTCCATATAGTTGATATGGCTTCAATCAATGCTTTCCGTTTATATAAAACAAAAAATTCGAAGAATATTCAACCGAGAGACTTTCGTCTTCAACTGATAAAATATATTCTATCAAAGTATGATAACCAAAAACGAATTTCTATCGGCAGACCAACAATTGATTCGCCACTACGTTTATCTGCTAGACATTTTCCATCACTTGTTTCTCCTACTACCTCAAAAGCTGCTGCGCAGAGGAAATGTTATGTATGCTCTCATACAAAAAAAGATGAAAAATCGGTCAAATATACAAGATATCAGTGCGAAGAATGTGATGTTGGATTATGCGTAATTGACTGTTTTAAAGCTTATCATACCTTAAACCACTTCTGAAAATGGTTTTTGATTGAATAAACATATGTTTTCGCTATTTTAAAAAACTTAACTTTTTCAAAAAAAAACCCGCCTACAAAGGGTTAAAAAGGCTTTGTATATTCTATTTATTTTGTATATTCTATAGGTTTTGTATATGTTATTATCAACAGATAAGAGTCTTATCTGTTGATAATAACATTTAGTCACTTGGTTATCAAACTCAATATCAAAACGACCGCATATCGGCACATAATATTCACAAAATTGCCGCATTAACCTTCAACCACGCAAATGTGGTTAGAAATGCATTTGAACGGTTATCCATAAGTCTTGGCGATGATTATGAAAATATTATTGATTATTTTGAAGAAGAGCATATATTGGTATGTAGTCGTGGGTGTTTATCGTTATAGTTTCACAGTTTAAGAAAATATGCACTTTTTTAGGACGACTTCGACCTAATGAAGTAAGATAACAGCCCAAGTTTAGTATTGACTTTTGGAATATGTACCATCGGACAACGGAGGCAACATGAAAACAAACAGCATTCCGGAAGCTTATCATCGTCGAATCGGCTTGGTTTTTCAATGTTCGCATCCAACGCTTTGGTCCTTCTTAGAGAAGTTAATTGAAGAAGAAAATGCGACACATATGGATATCCTACACATTAATGCTTGTCAAGCACCCAAATTGAAAAGTAAAAGAAATGAACGTTTTGAAAAACGTTTGTTAAATCTTATTTCTAACCCGCATACCGATGTTTTAAAACAACTTGATTCTATTACAAGTAATGCATCATTGTAATTTTATTATTATTATTCATGTATGAAGACGAGAGTGACAATTTTGAGAAAAATAATTAATACAATGCCAATATGCTTTGCATTCGTAGAGCAATCTTTCATATACGAGAAATCGTCTATATCCAAATGTGCTTTTTGTTTCTTAGTTTAAAACTTCAATTCTAAATTTATCTCTTAATTTCATAAGTAGATTCATATTTGCAGGCATGATCCATACATAACTCCATGTACAGTTTAAAAACATATACTGTATATAATATATACAATACGTTGTTCTTGATATTTTGGAAAAGTCACAATTTCGACATTTGCTCCCAAATTGAGAAATATCAATAGTTCCGCTGATCTTTCCTCGTGCTGAAAAAGTTTGTTCCCTGAGCGTCCTATCGATAGTCATCTTAGAGTCAACTCTAACAAAAAGTCCAGAAATACCCATGAAAGAAAACATGAAGAAGTTGTTTTTTTCTTACTGAAATATGAGGAACTTGGACACAGCATCACATATAGACAGCGATCATGCGGAAATAACTCGATGTTTTACATCTTCTGGCTGCTCTCGATAGCACCTTACCATCTTTGTTTCACAGATAAACAACGTCTAAACTTTAGATTCACGTGGCTAAAATAGCATCATATTAGAGATTTTGACATTTGCTTTATTTATTTTCTTCAAATTAAACTTCTACAAAAGGTGAATACACTCTTCTCAAGAAATCCTTGTATTTTATTTCGGACATAGGTCTCGTCTGATGCACGGACTGCCAGCGCTGTTGTCCCGGCGAACGTAATTGGGATTGCTACAAAAACAGCCGGTGACACACTGCTCTGTGCATATCTGAGGCTTGTAATTACAAGTTTCAACACACGCTGAGCCGCAAGTGTTGAATTTTTCTTACGCACCACAGAGACGGGTATCATCCTTTCTTTTGCAGGCTTCTCGTTTGATGCAAGGACTTCCGGGTGTGCTGATCTGACGAACATATCCCTTCTCACAGAAGCAGTCACTTTTGCATACCATGATACAGGCTGCGGGTCTGTGGTCACAGGTTTCGGTACAGGCCGAGCCACAGCTCTCATACTTCTCATTCATGCCACACACCGGCCCTGCTCAGTAAAAAAAACATTTAATTCATAAAATTCGATATTCAAAGTTTTCTTTACTTTGCCCTTCAACGCTGATCACCAACAGTAACAGGACGCAAGCATACAGAACGGTAGCCATGATTTACTTTCGATAAATGGAGTAGTGAATGAAAGAGTGCTTTTATTCTTTGTATAGAAATGGGTTTTGTGATATTTATATCTACTTTTGCAAGGTCAAGATAACAAGAGTTAAAAATCGTAGCCTTGATGGTGGATTATTCTGTAGAACGAAAGGAAAACAAAATGTGCTGGGAATACGCATATGGTGCGTACAGATAAAGGCTACAATGTAAAATAAAAACCGAAACTTCAACTCGGAATGATACCTTGTATTCATTAAGATCCATTTTTTATGTTGGTGATACCGGTGCAGACAAAAAAGTGTACGTACCATACCTCGAAGAACTCTGATTCAATGTATCTTGTTGCAACTGATGAACAATCTATCTTACCATAGAGAACAATTTTTCTCACTCTCACCGATATCTACCGAGCACGTGGACTAGATTATGATGATGCTGGCCACTATTCAAGTGCAAAACATTTTCAAACAGAGGAATGTAACAATCGAATCGTAGCTTTCAACAAACTTCGCTTCGATATTACGATTTGCTTTGGAAAATAAAAGTAATCTCAGGTGTGCATTAATCAAGGGGTCGTCTTAAAAAGCTTTCATTTGTGATGAGAGCCTCAAATTACATGAGTTAAGCTTTGTAAAAACAAAACAATGCGTGCTCGTATTTATACTGCATTTTTGTAGTCTATATCATATGTCTAAACAGTATTCTCTTTCTTATAGTTACATTGAACTATTCAATACTGATATCAAACATATCTCCTCCATGCTCTTTTTTTCTTTGATCAATTATGCTTGACTCACGTTCATGAAAATAAGTATAAGATTTGAGAAAATTGTCATCGCATTTTAAAGAGCTTTCAGGTGATCATCGGGCGATACACAACTAGTTGCCATCTAGATTACTAGTTGGAAAAGGGACTTTTAACTAGATGCGTCTTCAGGTGCATCTAGTAATAGTTAAATTGATCAATTGTCGAGCGATAAATCGATAGTTGCAACTAGAAAAAATCTAGTAATCATCCAATTACTAGATTTCTATTGTCGTTACATAGTAGTTGTGATCGAGTAAAAATCTAATAATCTAGATGAATCGGGCGATACTAGATTTTTTTTTGACGCCTGGGCACACAAGTTGTTTTTCAGTCAAATGGTTGAAAAACGTTGTACTACCTTGGATGAACTCTTTTTGATTACTGTTTACACGTTTACAATCGCATATTTTGACAAGATGTGAAGCAAAATTAATCGTTTCTCATTGTACTGAAAAAGCAAATACCAAAACACGAAAAGCAGGCGACTTATAACTGTAAAATATTCAAAAAAGGAAGCAAAAGAAAAGAAAAAAGCGTAAACCATGTTTTTAATAAATTTTATGTGCTTGAGCAGCATTGTTAAGAAATTCTCAAGCAGAAAAAAATTCTATATTCGTAGTCAAGTGTATTACTTTTTTTGTTGCTCTTACTGGCGTTAACTTACTGTTTGTTTTCTGCATTTTGACTGTAACTATTGACACGTTAATTTTTCATGTTCGTGATTCAGTTGGTTTGCTTTTCTTTGTGTGGAACATATGAGAATTAGTTAATACTGAATGTTCACTGACTTATTTTATTCCATCAGTGACCAATTTCAAATTTGATTTCTGCAATGCCGGATACCAATCATTACTTAATATTAATTCTACGACCTTATATTAATAATCTACGTGAAATGCCTGTCTTACTGCACAAGCTTCTGTACATGACTTCTGTTGAAGCACTTTTCAATTAAGAGAAAAAAACTGAAAATGATCTAACTATATATATGATCTATATATATATATATGATACAGTTTTCTAAATCATAGTCGAATTTGGCAATCAAGTTAACCTATCAAAAACTGTTTTAGCCAATTCCTGTTCATCCGTTAGCGATATATGCGCTACATCAGTCACTTTTTCAAAACTATAGTCTTAATACTAAGATTTCCTTTCTTTTTTTCCTTGACTGGTAGTCTAGCGTCATGTGCAATAGATGTTGACGTCCACAAGCATAAAAATGCCAGAAGTAGTCAAGTCTAGGTTCTCAGTCATGAAAATAATATAATTGAGGTAACCGACAATGGCGAGTCGAAAAATGAGTGTGAGCGACCTCTAGAAGCAGTCCTGTTGGTCGCAATTTCTTTTTTCATTGCGCTGCGCCTTCTTTTAGTTTTTTTTATGTTTTACTTATTGTGGAATTTGAAACTGAGGTGTGGTTTTGTGCGTTGATTGGGTGATTTTTGTAAGGGTAATCATAGAGTATGGCTCCTTTTAAGGCTTGGGTTTTGTTGAGGTGCCCTTCATGCATGCGAGATCTAGCGCGAGGCGTACATATGTTTGTTTTCGTTTTATTTTTAGCAGTGTTATATGGGCTTTTTTCTTGTGCCAGTGGTTTGTAGGAGAATGAAGGACGTGTATTAGTATTCCGTTGCATATTTCTCGGATTTTTAGGTGTATATGAGGCACGGGAAAGTATGAAATTAACCCTTCCCCCCCGATAATAGAAGACCGTCCCCTAATTAGAAGACCACTGCCGATTATATGACTTGGAAGCCAAATAGAAGACCAATGGTCTATTATGTCCGCAAAAAAATCGGCAAATGCCCTATAGGGGAATTTTCAAAAAAATTTCGCCCAAAAGTACTTCTGATAGGGGACGGACTTCAGGTACGTGAGGTTACCGTTGGACTAATAGCAGGCGACAAAATCTGACCGAAATAGAAGAGCACCCTTTAGAACTTGACTTGAGAGACAAAATACCAGGTGGTCTTCTATTATGGGGGGATGGGGGGTTATATGATTCATAAACCGAGTGGAGATTTTATAGGGTTTCTAAAATTGAAAAACTTGGTTTTGAGACGTTTTTCAGTATTTTTTCTATAACTCGACCAAAAAAGGTCTTAAAAGAATTTCCCCAAAACTATCTCTGCGATGACCTTGAATACCTCTGGTAAAACTTTTAACCCGCTCGGATGAAAGGGGGGTCGTAATATGACACAATGAGAAATCGAGTTTTCTGGAAAACTGGTGAACGGTAATAGATAGTTAAAAGCTTGAAACAAAAACGAAAACATGCTGCATTGAGTTTCTGACCACTTCTGAAAATATGAAGTCTTAGTGGTTTTTAGATTTTATTTCGCAACACCTCTTTGGAAAGCCCAAAACGAGGGCATCCTTAAAATGACCTTTTGACCTAATCGATGCTTCTTTTTTCAATCTTTCGTTTTTAGGTGTACTCTCACTGGTAATATTCAGCCTCTATAACTTGTGGTGAGATTTCAAATGAATCGATAGCATAGGACAAATATTGATTTTGAATTTTTTCGATTATTTTTAGTGCTCATTTCGCTAATGTAGCTGATCATACAGATGCACCATAATCGATCTCTGAAATCAGTCGGGTTTTGTATAAATCAATTAATGTTTTCACATCTTATAGCTTATTTGGACTAATCCATTGTTTTATTTTGTCATCTGTTCTAGCAGTTAATATTCTAATTTGTTCAAGATATTTGTGCCACTTAAACTTTCTGTCCAAATATAACTGTATCATATATCTGAATATGATACAGTTTTCTGCGGACCACAGTACTTAACGTGGAACCTTGAACTTGATATCAGGTGGAAGAGCGCGTCGAGTTCTGTATATTTCCATGAAGAAACGTTATGCTACACCTTGGGATCTTGAGATAGAGGTTTCTGAAAATCCAGTTTTCTTTCATTTCTTGGTGAAAATTAATCGAAAAAAGATTTAAAGTAGGATAGGATAGAGATACACATCAGTTGATTCATGTTTTTGTCCTGATTCCAAATATGATATTTTTGTATCACAGAAGTTGAGTTCGGTTGGAGAAAATTGAGAATTACGACTTTTTCGCCTGTTATGTAGAAAAACTGAATTGCGGTTTTTGTAAAATCAGTTGAAATACTTGGCCGATATAATGATCTTGACATATCTTAGTGCTTTCAACACTCCGTTAGTCGTTTTTCTGCCATAATGAAAATTATGTATTGTTTAAAAAAATACCACTGGATAGTCCTTGAAATTCTCTACAAAGTGAGCTGGTCACCATATCCAGACAGGTCTGATCAGCCATTAAAGATATGGAAAAGAAGGTTTGGGGAGTTATCTAAGCAGTACAGTGTGTCATAATCACAAGAACTCTCTTGTTTTTGACCTTTTAGTAAAAACTGGAACCAATCTGAATGATGTTTGAATAGCCCGAAGATTTTTCTATCAGATTAGGTGCATGTCGGCCTTTCATGAGAAAAGTTGATAATAGAGCGTCTGAAAAATCTGACCGCTGAAAAACCAAGTCCATAGTTTTTAGTGACACAATTTTGCAAACCATATAGCCTGAGCAAAATAAGACTTCTCACGGCATTCTATAATACATTTTCGCGCAACTGCATTCGATTTATCACTAGCCACAAGGGGCGTGAAAGGTACCAAAACATTTCGGTGAAAAAGCACTATAGAATGTCGGAAGAAGTCTTACTTTGCTCACAATTTTTCGCTCTAGCAAACTATGCCTAATCTCTGTCTGTAGAGGAAATTATATTCAGTTTTATGTGTCGTTATTCGAAAAAACTCGAGTTACATGTCAAGTATTTATCTAATACATCCACACAGACAAACTTTTAAAATAATGTGTTATCGTTTATTTTACAGCCCTTTCAATTCTACATTTTTCTGTGTATAAACTATTCCGGATTTGACTACTCTGACAAAACTATATTCATTTTATTATATCGAATGAGAGTTACATATACGGGAAGCTCATAAATAATGTTGGACCAATAGCTCTGTGAAGACATTAGTTTGAAAAGGTCTGTTATAAATTATTTTAAAGCCCGTGTAATTGTGCATGTTTTCATATATAATATTCTATTAAGAACATCGAATTCGCAAAGAAAATGATCCATATATCCGTGATTCCTTTTTATACGAAAACGTTTTGTGTTATTACGAACCCCAAATGAGTGTCAAATGCTTTGAACTTCTTCAACTTTTCCTTCTTACCTTGCCTCGGAAGAATGCAGAAATTTTTATCTTTAACGCATGAACCGAAATTCTATAAACGATAAAAATGAAATAAGGTTTCTGAAAGAAAGTTGAAATACGGATCGTAAAAGAATTGCCAAGAAAATAGGGAAATGATTATGAGTGAGTAAATCTTTGGGAAAACAGACCTATGAAACTTTTTAGGAAAAAACGTTGCAAAAGATTATTAAGACTATAAAAATGTCCATTTGTTTTTCTTTTTGAAACGTATAGGCAAACAGAAGAGGCCGTGATAAAATAAAACCTTTTTTACGACAGTTTTGTATCGATTCACCGGGTTCTGAGAAAAGTCGCCTTTCCTTGCAATGGAAAACCACGGTACATCGTGTATTTTTTGTGATCTAGTGTAACTGTGATGCTACTTTAAGTAGCATCACAGTTACACTAGATGCTAATAGCATACTTACTCTAATTAACAAACTTGCAACTCGTGTCTTTTCCTTTATTGTATGTCCACTTCCGAATCTACCGTCCAATTTATGAATTTCTCGTCAAAGATCACCTATAGGGCATGATCTGGATGGTGTTTTAGTGTCTTGGAATAGGAGAGTGTTGATTCAGCCATGATTCTCACAACAAGTAACGCTCGCTGGCTCGGAACCATGTAGCTTGTGGACTAGTTTCCATCATAGTATCGGTTTCAAGTAGCTTCGATTGCAGTGGGATCCTTTTTCAGTGTTGATCACCCCCTGCATATCTGCACAAGGGAACGGTGGTCGGCTGTCGCTTTGTTACTTGACTTTTGGGAACTTATATCTGCAAAGACATTTTCTCACTTCGAAACAGAGACAGCGTTCACCCCTCCCTTCGATCGGCGTTCGTTTAGTTATGATAGTATCAAGTGACGGTATGAGCCACTGAAAATCCGCAACAGGTTATGAAAGATGTGTCCGTCCGTCACAGTGATATCGAACGACCTTCGATGACTTTGAATCACAGACAAAGCTCACACCTCCCTACCGTCCGCGTTCGCTTCAGGTCTATCCACAATACGTGTATGTACCTCCGCCACACAGCGTTCAAATGCCAAAGGTTGTGAAAGTCACCCTCCGGTGGGGAGAACCTCATGTCGTTTGTGGCAGCACACATTGCTTCCGTGGCTCACAACCTCACTATACACTTTCACACCGTTTGTGGCGCCACCCATCATTCCTGTTGCTCACACCGTCATACGATATTATCACGTCGATTGTGGCGCCATCCATCACTTCTTTGACTCAGTGCTAGGCAGTGCCATCTACCACTGTGCATAACTGTGCTCATTTTGCTTATGTATTGGATACCTGCTTGACCAATAGGTGCATTATGGACAGACAGGTATTTAAAGGTTGTAAGACTCTCCCCTCCGGTGGAGAGAGTTAAACTAACAAGCTGTTTTGAGACATCTCAAAAAGTCCAACACGGCTCATAGAAGTACACATAGTGTACTCTGACAATATTATTGAAGTCCCCGAGCTGTGAACCATGTTTCGTTTAGGAGATTTTGAATTTCTAATTGGTGTATTGTAGTTCGAATAACTGCAGAAGAGAAAGCCAGTAGAATACAGCGAAAGTTTAACCAAAATTAGAAGCTCAATAACTCCTAAATGAAACAACGTCCAGAGCTCGGAGATGTAGACTCCTGGGCGTTCTTCCGGCGGGTTCGAGTTCGGGAAGGATTTCAATTCTTCGAGATCGGATCGGGATCGGGTTCGCAAATCTCAGATCCGCAGGACTCTAAGGAGATGTCTTACTTTCTAGATCAATATTTCGTGTGTCTTTCATAAACTATCTGTCTGTTTTAGTTATAATTACGATAAAGATATCTTCTGCTAGCCAAAATAGAATATGTAAAGAAAGATCTAAAAAATAGTTTCAGTCATTAATAAATTTTTGACAGAAACATCAACACATTAATGATATGGAATTTGTGTCCACTTGTAGATGTCAAACACTGGTTTACTCTGGATAAAAAGCATAAATGTCATAAAACTGTAGTTTTCCTACTAATTAACCCATTTATACGCAACATGATAAACTGTCTTTCTGTACAAGTGACAAGAGAATTTTTGCTGATGTGCACAACTAGAACGCATATAATTGAAAATTACTCCATCATCACCTTATAATTATTGTAATATGTATAAATATGGGAATACATTAATAGGTTCTAGACTATCTTTAAATTCTCAAGACCCTTTTTTCTAGAAAATTTATATTTCTCTTCTAAGAATTATACAAAAGCCATGTCAAATAGAAAGCAATTCGGCAGAATAATCAATGTGTTGATGTTTCTATCAAAAAATTATTAATGAATGAAACTATTTTTTAGATCTTTCTTTATATATTCTATGTTGTCTAGCAGAAGATATCTGTATTCTAACGAAAGCAGCCAGACTGTTTTCGTCTATTTCTCTTCTTTACCTTATAACTATATATTTTCATATAATATATTTTATTTACATTGAACAAACATGTTGTTGTTATTGTTGTCGTCTAGTATCGTTATTTTAACTTTGACAGTACTCGGTTTAAATGGCCAACAGAAAGGACATTATCCTTCGGTATCTAATGGTAATACTACTAAAGTACACAAGCAGTCCCTAGTAAAACATTACATAATTAAAAAAGACTTTATAAGTGGACTAAAATATCGTGAATTTAGTGTTTATGATCCCACTGAGCAACAATTACTATATCGTATTGATACGACATTTCACATATTACATCGAGTCAAAATAACAAATCAACCTGAGAAGAAATTATTAGCAACAGTTAATGGAAAATTTCGATTTTTTCTTTATGGAGCAACATTTAAAATATTAACACCAGGAACACAACAATGGAAAGAAGGAAAAATTGAACGATCGTTTACATTATCATATAAATTTATTATTACTTATGACAATCGTCAAGTTATATTCGAAGGTGATAGAAATAAATGGCATATGTCATGGACAGACGCAAAAACACATGAATTATTAGCTTCATTTGAAAAACGTATGATATCATTAGTATGGCAGAATACATATGATTTAAAAATATACACAGATGAGTTACCTGATATCTTCTTTTTTGTTGGCTTAGCTGTTGCTGATAGATCGACAAGTAATAAAGATTCAAAGGGTTGAAACAATCGGATAATATCTGTCTTATTTGTGCATTTCTACGCGAAGATATATGACAATTATCAGTCGCCTTCCTTAGCATAGCTTCCATTATTCCGTTTTATCTTTGTCTCAAGCATCTCTATTTTTAGATGCTATGCTAAACTTTACATTTCTGTCTATTTTTTTACGTTTTTGCTAATAAAATGAAAATAAAATAAAATCGTGGAATGAATAAAGCTAACCTTCTGAGAACAAATGCAAAACGGTATAACTTTTTTAATAATAAAAGATAATTAACAATACAAATCGATGAAAATAGGGCCAAAAACACTCGTACTAACAACAAACCGGAAATCAGTAAATGTATTAAATTCATATGTGTTGTGATATTCGCCGAATAGTTTCACCTCAAATTCGTTATGTGAATATCGTTTACTTTTAGAGCTCTATTTAACAAATATTAACCCTGATTCAACAGTGCTGAATGTTAAATATTAATGAAACAAAACCATATATATTAAATATGATTTATAATAGTATGAACGAGTTATATTTCTATGCGCAAAAATTATAAAGTATTAATATGATGTAAAATTAGATAAATACTTAACAGTATTTAACATAATATCTGTCGATATGATATCATTAGATATTATGTCGATAGAATAAAGTACGGTATAGGCAGAATGATCAACAGTATATTTAAATATATCAACGAACACCTACTATCGAATGTTGGAGAATCGATGAGATATTGAGATGAAATAACTATGGCAATTTTTCTGTGATAATATTCTATCTGAACAGAAATTAAACGTCTGATTAATTGATACACTTGTATATGATGACTTAATTCGAATGATAATATACAATTTAAAACTAATAGCGTTTCTAGGGAACAATTCTCAGATAATCACTAATATTCATTATTAATGAAAACAATAGTTTAAATAATTTAATACCAAATGGGATATTTTCCCCTAATATGTGATACATTATTGAATGAAGACTTAGATATACTGTTATTGTTGTAGGCATAGAAAAAACATATCTAACTGATGATTTTCCAGTCAAATAAATGTTGATTGTATGTTAGGTGAAATTTGGAGAATAAAACACGTCAGAAAAGTTTAAACTTGAGCTTCAGTTTGTTGCGATAAAATGCAGATACGTACACTGGAAATCTCTTTTGTAATCCGATTTGTTAATACTGTTCATCGCTGGTTTTTCGGTGCAGGTGGATAGAATGTGCGATGGGTTCCTATATTAGCTGAATTATTTATATGAAAACTGAGCCAAAATTGAACCCATTTTACAATGAATCGTCCGATAGTGCGGGATCTTTATGTAGACGATGTTTATTGTATTTTTACGAATAATCCAAATATTCCTGATATTCTTACTCATATTAAGAATCGGCATAATAATGTTAAATTTACAATTGAATATAAAACAAATAGTAAAATATCATTTTTAGTTGTTCGGATTATAAGGCGCCGCTAATTCAAAGTTGCAGCACTTTTTATTTTCAGCTTTAAGGCACATGTTTAGATTCAGTTATAGTTGCTGATCACGAATATGTCCTTATTTTTTGGATTTGATAAAGTTTTCACGGAGAAAAACGCAAGATACTGAGGACACCTCAAAGTCCGCATACAAGCTATCTTTTGAGAAAACAGCGTTTAATTCTGTTCCATGTAAGTTTCGGCTCTCACAAATGTGATTTTCGGATTCCTTATGTAAAAGTGAGCCTAGACATGTGGTCTAGAGCACTATCGCATATTACATGTCGAGTCCTGAAATCCATGTTACAGTGACGCTCGGCTGGCATTACTTAACTTTGCCAAACTATCTAGTTTTTTGTGTTGTTCTCCATGAAAACTTTATCAAATCGAAAAATAAGGACATATTTGTGATCAGCAATTATAACTGAATCTAAACCATATCACCGGATCGACAAATTTTAAAAGCTTGTTCGGTCAAAACCGATTGGAGATTCGTGTTCTCCATGGTTGATTATGTGGTACGCAGTAACTTTTGGATCGGGGTACTTTAGAAAATAAATTTCCCATGGTCTTGCTCAAAACGTTTTCAAAAACTTACTGTATGGGACCAAAGGCAAAACGAGATCGAAAATTTTTTCTAAAGTACCCCGATCCAGAAGTTATCGCGTACCACATAATCAACCCTGGAGAAGACGAATCTACAATCGATTTTGACCGAGCAGGCTTTTAAAATTTTTCGATTCGATGATATGATATGACTTAAAGCTTAAAGTAATAAGTGCTGCAACTCTGAATTAGTGGCGCCTTAGGTGATATAAATATTAAAGACTATGTAATAACTATTTATTTGTATATAATTATACACCCGCAAACACAAATTTGTATCTGTTAGATGAAAGTAAGCAATGCAGAAAGTACAAATTAGGCTTAATTAAATCATTGGTGATATGTATTAGAAATTTGAATTATTCAAAAACTGATTTTGATTAAAATCAAACAAACTCATGACATATGCTCGGAATGAGTTGATCAGCCGAGTAATATTAAGGCGCGAGAGTATTGAAATCGAATTGTTTGTTAATAAAACGGTGCACACGAAGTTTTAATTAATCCATAATGAGATCTATGTAGAAAGTAATTACAGGTCTTAATTACAACCAAGAGAGTCAACTAGAGCTTTGCTATCGTAATATTCTGGTAATATCTAGCTTCCATTGATTGAAATAAAACGAAGTCGGCTGGTTTCCTGACGGTCCATCGATAACATGTATCAATGTGTAGAGAAGTCTAAACTCGCTTGTAGTTGTTTTGTACTTAAATAACTGAGAGGTCTGTTGTCTCAGTACACCAGTTTTGTGTACAAGGACGGTATCCAGGAATATATTTCGATTTCTCATAGGTTAATTGTTCCATTTTGTCAATATTATTATGCATTCCATTTACTAAAATGTTATATATATATATATACCAATTTCGTGGTATATAGTAAATTTTTTGAATAACGACTATACTCGCATCACAAGGTCAAAAATGGTTGATGCTGAATCTAGTTCGTTGACAATGTAAATAACAGTACTTTCGACTGAGTTTTTTCATAATATTTAAATCGTCCTGAGCAAATCGCCTCAATGAATACCTTCAGCATTTCGTCGTAATTATTTGTTCTAAAAGTCAAATGATGTTTTAATGAACGTATAGACGAGTCTCACAATTTCCTCGATTTATCGTCATGTATCTTATTTGTATTATTTAGGTCTTGAAAAATGAAAAAGCTTAAAAACGTTTTATTTCCTGATACAAGGAACATTCTCTGAAATGTGTTTATATCTAATAATGTAGTCCACACTCAGGACTATCAAACGGTTAAAAATGAATCTTTTAACTTGTTCCTGGTCGCAGATAATAACACTGCAAAAATTTTGTCACTGCTGTACAAATTCTTATTTCACACACTGTAAGAATGTTTAAGAGCATTTTAAAAATCCCTATAGTTGAGGACCATGATTCATGCTGCTTTTACTAATCTATGTATTCTAACAATGCTTTAATAATACGGAGTATTTGTTTGGCCCCAGCTGCGATATTCCACTTGACGATTACACTAGAGAAGTGGCACAGTCATTGATCAACTTTTATTACAAATATCAACATCTCGGCAACGCACAACCAGTACAGGGTGCAACATCACAGTACACGGCAATTGGGGAGTTTTTTCTTTTATGTAACCTCAGTGCATTAAACTTCTGATCACATAGTGTTGTACGGTTTTTATGGCGTTTAAGAGATACTAAGCGAGAAGTGTATAAAGGAATAAAAAGAATCTACATGCATATCGTATCAAAACTATCTGAAAGATTTTCTAATGAATCTAAAAGAAAACCACATTATTTTCGTTGTTCGTCCTCAGTTATTGAAAAATATATCGCTCAACATCGCCATATTAACGAACAAATTCTGAATGGGGTAGCTAGAAGTATTTACGAAGTAAACAATTTGTAGAAAATCCGACCGAAATATTAAAATCTTATTTTGTTAAAACAACTGCCTTATGGATATGTGAAGCTTGCGATATCAAAACAATCTCTGACGATACCAGTGAAGCTAAAGCATATGGAATCAATATTATGGATTCGATTTATTTATGATAAATTAGATAAACGTTATCTGAAACATTATTTCCTCGACAATGTAAATATACTCGATATACTCGATGTTACTCGAATATACTCCGAGTATATTATACAAAGAAGACTAACATGTCCAAATCTGCACAAAAACGATCTGCAACGACCGCTGCGAACAACAATGATCACAATCCAATGAAATATTTCAGGCGAGACGCTAATATTGCTCTTGTCACTGCTGCCACCATCCCTGTTGGTTCATCCATCGACGTACCAACCGCTCCGGCAATGACGCTCGATGCCTCACTGTCGCTCCTCTCGTTCTATGCCATTCCATCCGCCGAGGTTCAAAACACGCAAATTATAGACCACGTGGAAGAGGAGACACTAGAGCTTAATGCCACAAAATTAGGTACTGCACTGCAAGAAGATGGTAAGTTTCGTAAACTGTTTATGAATTTCTAACCATTATTGACATGTGCAGAGAGAATTTTTGTACTTTAAGAGGTAATGGGCGAAAGCAGCAAGATTCCGATCAATACTGATAAAAATGATCAAATTGGGGTTAAACTCTGCATAATCGACTCTTTGCTCAACTGCTGCCACGATCTTATCAAGCAATCCACGTCATCGGATATTCCACAAGAAATATTCGTACAAAACACGCTGAAGTTTTCTGAAAATCTAATTCACGCGGCGAACGATTTACAAATGATTTAAAAATAAACTCAGCATACGATAGAGNAGAGTCATATCGGCAATCGATCACATTTATAGAGCCAAAAAGTGACCAGCTAGGTGGACGTGATCCGGGTAAGATGCTAGTAATCTTGGAATAACTCGAGAACTTTTATTTTTTCACTTCACAGGCCACTACCGTGAGCACAGGTAT